ACCCGGCCTGGCCTCCAGGAGCACCGGCTCCGACGGGTCCGACGGCTTCCCCACGCCACTGGCGTTCGCCGCCCGCACTCGGAAGACGTAGCTCTGACCCTGGTGCAGGTCACACACCTGGAGGTGGCGAGCGAAACGCCACGAGAAGAGAGAAATGGAGGGAACTTGGTTATTTTTCACAGTTTGTAAGGAATATGCTTTCTTTTCAAAAAATAAAGAAATGTGTTCCTGCCCGGCTGGCGTGGCTCCGTGGCTGAGCATCGACCCAGGAACCAGGAGGTCAGGGTTCGATCCCCGGTCAGAGCACGTGCCCAGGCTGCAGGCTCGATCCCCAGTGTGGGGCGTGCAGGAGGCAGCGATTCATGCTTCTCTCTCATTGATGTTTCTCTCTCTCTCCTCCTCTCCCTTCCTCCCTGAAATCAATAAAATGTATACGTTTTAAAAAGAATCACACTCCTCCCGTTGGAGTCACTGTGTCGTCGGCTCACACAGCTGCACAGACTCCCACTCGCGGCCTGACTGCAGGGACACACAGGGTGGTGACAATTTTCTGTTTAATCCTCACCTGAGGGTATGTTTCTATTGATTTCAGAGCGAGAGAAAGGGGGGGAGAGAGACAGAGAGAGAAACATCAACCTATCGCTTCCTGTTGGCGCCCAACGAGGGATCGAACCCACCACCCCAGGCGTGTGCCTGACCTGGAATGGACGTCATGACCTTTTGGGGTACGGGGGGTGGGCGGGGGGTGGAGGATGCTCCGGCCAAGGGAGCCACCTGGCAGGGCGATTTGTGACGATTCTGATGCGTCCTCTTTCTTTTCTCTTTGCATAGTTCCAAGCAGAATTGAAATCATACCATCTAGTTTCTAATCTGGTGAGTAGAGTCATTTAACACAATTCTGTGGGGCTAATAGAATTTTGAAAGTGAGTTTTTTCCGTGCACAATGCCCCACCCTTGGGCGCCACCACAATTGGGTCAACCTCCTGTTACACCCATGTTCGCCATGGGCGCAGTGATCCGCATTGGTAACCACAAGTAAATGTGTATTTGCTAAAACTCCCAACGAACTGGCGTAGCTAGACTCGTAGAAGCTGGTTTATTCATTCAAAGGGGACGGACGTTGTTTCATATCATCGACTGCTTTCCGGAAGAGGCTGCCATGCCCGCCACGTGCCCCGGGGTGCCGCCGTGTGCCCAGCGCGGATGTGGCCTGTCTCTGAGGGCGGCACATGTCACTTCCTGTCAGTCACACCCCCGAGCCCGAGACCCAAAGAGAACGTCGGGTCTCAGGGCGCCTGTCACATGACCCCGGCCACCGGCCAACGGAGGGGCTAAAATAGAGGAATTTGGAGGGAGGACAGAGCACTGTCCCCTCACAGTCCTGCCAGATGTAAACTGTAAAGATGTGTGCGTGTGTGTATGTCTGTATGTGCACACACACTCCCAGTCAGGGCACAGGCCCGGGTTGTGGGCTCGATCCCCAGTGGGGGGCGTGCAGGAGGCAGCCGATCCACGATTCCCTCTCATCACTGATGTTTCTTTCTCCTTCCTCTCTGACATCAATAAAAACATATTTTCTTAAAAAGACTTTACTAGCAACCCGTGAGCTAAGCACAGTCCCTGCGGGGCTGGGCGGGGAGAGTGATTAATACCCACGCCCTGAGGAAGGCAGGGGATGCCGGAGTCCATTCATTGTCTTCACTAGCTGAGTTTAGACAGAGACCCCCAAAAGCTAGTAACCTTTGAAGTCCTAGCAAAGGTCAGAACTGCACCACCCAGTTAATCTAGGAACCACCCAGTTAATTTAGGTAATAATAGCTGAAGCATCCCCACCTTAGTTCCCTTAATTCCTTAGATACTTGTGTAGATCCTTGTTGATTATTGTTGATCAGATATTCTGCCTATTTCTGGAAATTGTCTACCAATGAGCTAATCCATGTGTCACTCAAACCTCCTTACCCTAAGGCTACCCAAGATCAAATAAAAGCTTGGAGCAGCCTGAGCATCGGAGGAAGTCCCTCTCCTTGAGTTGGACTTGCCCACCTGGTCCCCCAATATTGCAAAATTATCTCGTGTCTTTTTCTCTCATTTGTTGTGCGGCTCCACTTTCAGATACCGAACCCTACTCCACGCGGGACGTGGAAGGAAACACACTCGACAAGGGACGGCGCCCGCACAGACAGTCTGAGGCCTCCGCTACTCAGTGCTGTCCGGGGGCGAGGCCGCGCTCAGGGCAGAAATGGAGCACACGCCACGGTCCCCACCGTCCCGGCGTGGGCCTGCCACGGGGACCGACCCTCTACCCCAGAGGCAGTGGCCGCGAAGGGCGCCCCACCTTTAAGTAGCGATGGGCCGTGGGCGCCTCGCTGACGGAGGTCCATTCCTCAGAGCCCTCCTCCTTGTAGTCCACGAAGTAGCCGGACACGGGGCTGCTGCCCGCGTACACGGGGGCTTTCCACAGCAGCACCAGCGAGGTGTCCCTGACCTCGCAGAAGGTCAGGTCGTACGTGGGACCTGGAGCGGCGGGGGGGGGGGCCGATCAGCACCCCGCACCCAGGGAGTACTCTTGGCTG